GGGGAAGCAGACACTTCAAGTACACAGTGACATCATCATAGGACCTAATCACATCAGCCATACCATCAGGGGCTCGTTCACCTGCACATCCACCAATGTGATATATGCCATCATGTGCCAGCAATGCCCCTCTGCCATGTACATTGGCCAAACCGGACAGTCTCTACGCAAAAGAATTAATGGACACAAATCTGACATCAGGAATCATAATACTCAAAAACCAGTGGGAGAACACTTTAACCTGTCTGGTCATTCTATGACAGATCTGCAGGTGGCTATCTTAAAACAGAAAAACTTCAAACATTGAATCTATCTCCCCTTGTAAGTATTCTCACACTTGCTTCTTATCAAACTGTCTGTACTGAGCTAGCTTGATTATCATTTCAAAAGTTTTTTTTCCTCTTACTTAATTGGCCTCTCAGAGATGGTAAGACAACTCCCACCTGTTCATGCTCTTTGTATGTGTGTGTATATATATCTCCTCAATATATGTTTCACTCTATATGCATCCGAAGAAGTGGGTTGTAGCCCACGACAGCTTATGCTCTAATAAATTTTGTTAGTCTCTAAGGTGCCACAAGTACCCCTGTTCTTTTTGTGGAGTTTTAGGTTGTTGTAGCACATATAGCACAGCAGGAGGCACACTGTAGCATAGACGCTGACAGAGCTAGGTCAAGGTAAGCTGCCTTACACTGACCTAACTCTAGCCTAGACCAGGCCTTTGCATGGGAAGGGGAGGTCAGGTTCTTCTGCGCCAACCTTTTCAGCACAGTGCTGCTCTGGCTGCCAGTTCCTGGCCTAATGTCTGGGACAGGCAGGTGGGTATTGCCTCCTGGATGACCAAGGAGGGCCACTTCGGTTAGGTGTGCTGGAGGACAGATGATCTAGTGGTTTCATTAATAGCTTTTAAAGCCAAAAGGGACCATTGTGACCTACTCTGACTGGCAGAGCACAGGCCCAAGAACCGCACCCAGAGCCTTCTCCATCAAACCCATGACAGCTGTTTATGCTAGAGCAGTTCTCTTGGCAAGACATGCAGTCCTGACTTGGACTGGAGAATCCACCAGGCCTCTGGCTAAACTGGTTAGGATGCTAGCCTGCTATTGGGTAGAACTGGAGTAATTCCCAGCTCTACCCCAGACTTTCTGTGTGGCCTTGTGCAAGTGACTTTAGGAAGCTGAGACACAAAAAGACTATCTGCACAAGGAGACTACTTCAGCTCCGTAGGGTGTACCATGGCTCAGAGCTTCTGCTCTGTGGGGTGCGTTGGGGCTCGGGGCTTCTGCTCTGTGGGGTGTGCTGAGGCTCACAGCTTCAGCGCTGCGGGTTTGAAAATACTTACCAGAGCTCGGCTCTGGCTGAATTTAAGCCCTGGCTGTGTAAATATCTAGAAACAAAGAACGTAAGTCATTTTTACAGGTGGGGGACTCTGTCCTGGGAAGCAGTGACTCTGAAAAGGATTTTGGG